GACCGTAACCGCCGTCTTTCTTTCTCTCTCTGCCTGCTTCGCCTCCGCTACGTCTCTGTCTTTGTCTCCACTATTGCTTCGACTCTGTCCGGCTCTCTCACTGTTTAGCACACTTATATACGATAATACTGCCTGTTCTAGAAACTTCTAAGACTCTCAACACGTGCTACCAGCGTCAGTTGATGCAATGCTGTCGCAACACACTAGCGAATCTTCTAGAATACTCGTCACGTGACCCCCCACTGTCGTAACAATATGTAATAATTAAACACAAAGGTAAAACATTCTTTGCTAGTTAGATCTTGCCTTTAGCTTAACAATGAAAGTTGTTGGTGTGCATATTGTACTCTTACTCTGTCAATTCTGTATTTGAATATCAATGGTTTTTTCCAGCTTAATTACCTAATTAGATTTACACTAAAATTACAGACACTTGAATGAACAGCCAAAATTCTTACTAATATTGTTTTAGAAGACAACTCAGAATATTCTACCTGATCTCTCCAGGAATGGTCATTATCTTCTCTCCATTTAATGGGTACTCAACATCTGGAGGGGAAGGAGGAGGCTCTGGCACCTGGAAAATATCAAGACTTGCCATCATATTACCCATTAATTTAGTTATCTACAGTGTTATGTTACATGATTATCAGAAGTCATGGTATTACCTTTGTTTCCCCAAAAGCCTCCTGGAGGGGTTACCTGTTTTAACTACTCGCACCACTATACAATAGTGTGTAGTCTGTCAATCAGTCAGTAGACATTAAAATGACATCACATAATGCACGCTTAACATTGCAATTTGTCCTGTCGTGACGTCAGTAAAAAGTGCACATACCATGAATCATGGAAAGAATTATGCATTTTGTAGGCTACAACATAGTATGGCATATGAACTTCAAAATCATGAAATAAAAATATTTGTTAGTCTAAATTTTGCATTTATTTATTTATACTCAAAACAGAAAACTTTCAGGCATCATGCAGAAGTACATCAAGTTTAGCTAATACTTTTGGTTAATAACACCTCATAAACAACGTACCCATTCTGAAACAAAGACGTGGTTAACAATGATGTTTATGTTTTATCACAAGTTTTCTTCTTAAGAACCAGCCTCTAGTGCAATTGTTCAGTGAGATTCTCTTACAATGAGAAAATAAAATCTTAAAAATTGTTGAGAGTACTAATACGAAATGCAAGTATCTTATTTTCAATTATGAAACATATCAAAAATAATACTTCTAAAGGTGGTTGTACTTTATCACAGAAGTGAATCTTAGGTATCTTCTATAAATTATATTTATTTTTGTCCTAAAGACCATAATACAAAAACCTCTCAATGGTTTTAACACACAGTGAAGTCAATCACTATAGAATAGCATCAATATTTAATGATGTGTTTATTGTAAAGTAGTTTATCTATAAAATTATATTAGTTTAATAAAAAACAATTTCACATAACAGGTTTCACTTAGATGGAATATCTAATGTCTCTTTTTTTTTCTTTTATCAGAAACTTTGACTTTTCTAACAACTTGAATTATATTCATAACTATAGTAGTTGGACCTTTAATTATCTAAAAAAGTAAACATTGCGCTACATATTCATATATATTCTCAAATGCCATAAAATGAAGAATTATTATTATTATTAAAAATAAAGTTAAAAAATATGGCAATTTTGCTTATATTCACGAAAATAACAAAAAATTTATAGGAAAATAAACTTGAAATATGTTTTGAAAATTCCATGGAGTAATTCCTGAAATTTGGAATAGCCTCTAAGGCATGTATTTTGTTAAGAGTCAAACATGTAGATTCAATATGTATTACAGTATTAGAAGTTAGAAACCCATTATAGTTTTTGCCTATCAATTTAAAAGAATTTTACTTAAAATGTAATTGACAACTTTTTGGACAATATGATTAGTCCTTTATTGTTTTTTTTAAATAATTAAAACATGGTATTCAATATGGCTAAAATTACATACAGGAAGAAATCTTACAGATAGTTTGAGACTTTTCAGTAAGTAAAATAGTCTCATATAGCAGTCTAACCTTCACTTGAAGTACCTGAGTTTTAAAAATTAAACAATTATGTATGTTATGTGCAGTTTCAACAAAAAGTCAAGTTTTTGGTCAATAAAACCTTCTTCCAAATGTTGAGTTTTACTTATTTTTCTAGTCTAGTTTAAAAAAAAACATTCTACTCTGGACATATACCTCTTCTGACAGTTTCAACCCAGAAAGTCTTTTGCCACTTTCATATGCTTGAATTTTTTGGCCGAGGTCAAAAGGTGCAACAAAGCAAGTTCTTACTGAAAATAAATAAAATTCATTATATCTCTAATTTTAAGGGATGAAAAAAAAGCAATGGTTATGTTATATAAACATCACATTGTAACAACAAGGGCAAGCAAGTTTAACTTATACATAGTTCACTTTGCACTTACTTTGGTGCTTTCAATAGGAGAGTTATGAATATCATGAATAAAATATATGTTAGATTATTTAATTTTTTATTAAATTATTTTAAATAAAAAAAATTGAAACACATAAAGGACAAAGGTCTATAAGGTGGAAATTTTGCCCACAGTAATGACCAAAAAATAATTATTTACTATAGAAATTGTTTCATATGTAATGGACTACAATAAGGTATCGTTCCAGGAATGAGCTTGTCTACTGCAACTTTTTCTTTTCTTTGCCATGTGTAGCTAATTCTAGATGCCTACTTGAACACTTTTTATTGGGTTAAGGACTTTTTTTAACTATTTTACATCAACTGTTTAATATGATTGTCTTCTTTACACAATATCAGTCAGTAAAACTGGTACACCAATAGTGTTTTGCTACATTACTTACTATGTGTTTTATAAAGTACACTTTAAGGTGATATTAGTAAGGCAATGTTCAGTCAAGCTGAATTAAAACAGATTGGTCAAATGTTATATGAAGTGTTAAAACTATAGGGAAAAGAACCTCATAATGTAGAATTAGGAACATACCTTAAAGGACAAAAGTAACACTTCCACCAAAGATGGTGCCTATTTGCATCAAATGCCATCAAAATACTATTATTCTAAATTCTGTGTGCATGATGATCATCTTCCGAATCACATTGAAGCTGAAAGAAGTGATCCAAGCTTTGATCCTTTTCCTTATTTCACTCCTTGTTCATTCTCAAGCAATCGAGACTGTACAAGCTCTAAGCATTTAAGTCTGAACATCAGATCAATAGGAAACAGTCAGGCAAATTTGTATTGTTTGCAAAACAAACTCAGCTGCCATTTACACCACTTAAAGCACAGACTCAAATATTTGATATGCATGATACTGTCAATTGTACTGAAGCATGGTGCTGCAAAAGTAACCAGGAAAGAAATCAGCTTTCACCCAATTTGTATAAGGTGATAGATGCAAATATAAAAAAAACACATCTACTGTAACAGAATAGATGTGATAGTACAGCAGCAAAAAGATCAAGTGGAGTAGACTTTTATAGGTCTTGCATAATAACTATTGGTGAATACTTCAATCTGGCTTGTTTGACCAAGTCTTACTTTGATGACCTATCTATCCAGATTCCACTCTTGAGGAATATCCATATAAGGTTTGTACAAACCTGTTTACACAGTTCTCCTTAAGAAGCTCCACACTAAGTTATCCAACAGAATTCTGGGTTTGGATAATATTTCTGGTGTAAATAGTATGTTGCACTTAGCTTGTTCTGCTTTCAGTAATTCTGTTCCTCTATATCTTGGATTTGGATATATCATCCATCAAGAACTGGTACCTAACTACATACAGCCTCATGAAGTGTAGGGACGTAAAGGGGGTGCATCTTACAGAGGGATAAACAGACGTGTTAACAGTAAAAAGCCAAAAACTATTAAAATCTGTCAAGGTCTGGGGTGAAAAATCATTAGGCTGGAGGTCTGGGACCAGCTGAAAGTTCTAGAAGTTGAAGAACTTTTGACTTTCTTTGGTGAATTCTCAACTTTCCCTGGCTCTAAATCTAAATATTTTTACTAGGTTGTTATTATTCATGTTGACATTATTTTTACAGGTATTTTCACAATTAATTTAAATATATTTCTCATAAATGATCTTGAGTGGCCCATAAAACTTGAAAATCCACAAATCCATGGAAAATTATCAAGCCTGATACAATCTTTCAAAGGCAGTCATAAAAATGCAATAAATGATAGAAATAATAAATAGGTGCATAAAACAGTGCAAACTACTGGACATGGTATTTACCAACTTGCAAACACCTTTTATCAGGGATTACTTGAGAATTGTCATTGTTCTTGATCTCGTAAAAAACACAGAAGCTGATTTTTTTACCACAATATGCATGCTGAAACAACCCACCACACTCTACAATATTGTTGAGTCCAAGGTTTGATATAAAAGAGGTCAATGCAGAACAAAACTGAAGTAGGTGATACAGCTTCAGACTTTCAAGTTATCTACAAATGTGTGCAATCACTAACATTGAGCATATACCAGCTGACTCATAAAATACCATACACACAAAAACACCTATCTGAGGATATGGCGTGTGGGTTTAGTAATTAAAGGAAGGTCTTCTACATGCAAAGATTCAGTTCTACTATGTTTCAAGTAAGGCAAACTATGGATTCAGCACGAAAATCAGTATCACACCAATACTAACCTGCTAATGTATACGCCATGCAGGCACAAGAGTAGTGACACACCATGAACTCAACATATTTAGTATCAGTCATGCAATTTCTGGAACTTAAATGGCACAATAAGAACAGGCTCAAAAAATCAACCTCTTTACCTAAGGTGTTTACAATGCAGTAACAATCATTAATGTTACTTCTAAGAAAGTGGAAAAAAATTGAAGGTGTAATTATGAATACTTAGTGTAAATGGTATGTGAAATATGACGTTTTATGTATGAGTTAAGGACAAAATAAAAAGCAATTTGTGGATTTTTTTTTTGCAGTTTTTAACAATTGTAAAATGAGTTGAACAGAATACATATGAATAAAATTGAAGAGTAGGCAACATTGACATCTTATTGATATTTGACTTTTGTTTTTTCATACAAGACAAATTGTTCAAAGAATTGAAAAAAAACGTAATGATTGAGTTTATCAATGTAGTTATCAGAAGTAATTATACATAATTTTTATATACACTAAAATCTCTAAAAAACCTAAACATATTCAAACTTTCCTTCTTCAGTCTCCAAACTACTTATAAGTTTGTAAAACAAGCAAAGTGTTCATAACATGCTTACACTTATAAAATACTTGCAGACAAATATAAAATAAATTCCATCTTTTCCTTACATTATGTAATGTACCACTTTACATTTTATATTACCTAAGTAACAAAGTTAATATATAGTATAAAAATTTTATTTGTACTCAAATTTTATTTATTGAATTTTGCACAAACCTACACAGCTAGTCACCTCTAATTGTCAAATGATAGAGTAGAGGGTAGACAGAGAGCCAATACCTTTCACTGCTAACTGTTAGGATACTCTTGACAGACCAAATAGTGAGATATCTTACTATGTACCATAAACCCTAGGTGGGGAAATATATTTTTTTTAGTGGTAAATGGGACACGAATCACAGGATCTCAGATCTACACTACAGCATGCTAACCAATGGGCCATGCTTGGCCCCATTCTTAAAGTATTTAATCAGTTGTCAATAATAATTTCAACATAAGATAGTTGTTACTGCTTAGAAGGATTTTCATCACTTATTGTGAAAATAATACTACTTTATCAATAATATTTTGGTAAGTGTGTTATTAATAACTTTTAGGGAATTCTTTAATAATTTCTTTGGTAAAATCATAAGTTTTCAATAATTACTGTTGACTAAACAAGAACATGTGTTGTTTGTAGTTAAGGCCACTTTAGGTGATGTAAAAATTAGGCTGATTTAACATGCAACATAAGTATATGTTTATATAAAAATACAGTTATTAATCTAAATGCCAAAACATCTACAAAGATACTTTAAAGATTGCACCAAAAAACTAGAATTTGGGATCCAACAGAGCTGCAATGTAGTTACAGGAAATATCACCAACCAATCACATAATGAAATTTCAAATAAGTGTATTCCAAATATATCGATGGAATCTGTTATATAACCTACACTGTAGCAAGAACATTATGCATGTCTACACCTAATCAGCATGTTTAGAATTAAAGTATCTCAATAGGCATAAAAAATAAGAATATTGGTTTTTATACTATTTCTCAGATTTTTAATATTCTGTTCTTTAAATGTTCACAAAACCTTGATTAAAGAAAAGGTGACTGTCTTTCTAATAGTGTTGCTATCTTGATTACAACTATATACAATTATCTTCATATCCCACTTTTCTGTGAAAAATAAATAATCACCTTAAAAATTTACAAACCTTTTATATCTTCCAATACTGTTTCTTTTAGAGGCTCTGTAGAAGTATAGAAAACAATTATATTTATTGACATCTTTTTCTCACTTTTTGTTATATACAGCAAAAAAACTGCAAATAATCAATAACAACAATTCTATTTTAAAACCTTTTAAGATTTAAGATGCACGCCTCATTGATAAAATAAAAAATAGCCAATTTTAGAAGCTTTTGAAGAGCTTCAAAGAATAATTAAGTTACTTCTACTTTCACTCAAACTTACAACAATAATAATAACTTTACAAAACATGCCTAAGTAAACTAAATAAAACACTTGAAAAGATGAATCTAATCTAAATGCAAAAATATATTCTTATATAAAAGTTTTTGATAAAACTAATGAATACAGTACAATGTTTTCTTAAAGGACATTTCCAAGGGAGATTAATAGTAATGTGAAAACATCTGAATATGACAAAATAAACACACAAGAAGAAGACCAAAAAACTAATAACTCACTAACAGTAATGGTAATAAATCAGACTATGGAATATGTGATAAAGAAATGCTGGAGACAGAATAAACTAAAGAAACATACTCAGAAAAAAGGCAATAAAATTAAACCATGATAATCATCATTCAGAAAGGTACATTGGAAAATAAACTATTATATTGAAAAACTGAGCAAAATATATTAAAAATAAACTGATAATATAAACTTAAACCATATATATATATATATAAATGTTCTATATTATTTTCATGGAGTTTTTACCAACCATGAAGCCTTAAGATTGATCTGTATTACATGTATAAAATCTTACCTGTCTGTCCTTTTTCTTCAGGAAAGCCAACACAAAACAAGGATAAAATTACGGTCTCTAATCATTTTAATCATGGTATACAACCATATTTTTTATATGTTTTTGAAACAATATGATATAAGCAAAAACATTACTAACAAAACCATAAAACTTTATGTGCATGAACTTTATTAACTGATTACTGAGTTTCAAACATTAGGTGTAAGTTTGAACCATAATAAAATGCATAATCAATTTACAGATGATTTTCGTTTGGATACATTATGCAAATCCAGCATCATATAAACAAGTGCAAGAAGGCCTAACAATAAGTACAAAATACAAAAAGCACAAAAAAGTTATATTGAAATAAATATCTTTAGGTGAGTGCACTTCCAAAGTTATTGTCTTAATGTCCTTCATCAGGGTTATAAGATCAACAATATTCAAACAATGAACAACTAACTTAAACATAGTAATAGAAGTTATTATTTTATTATAATAGATAAAAAAATTGCATTTACCTACATACCTATATCTGTACAATCACACTCGCATAACTACATATTAGGTACAGAAATGAATGACAAATTGTTTCACTTGTTTTAAAAAATGTTTTTACACATTTGTCATCAAAAGTCCAATAATTTTAAATTTGTTTCCAGTTGCAGTATTGGTTATAAAACAACAGTGTTATGGGTCTACATCTCCTTTTGCAGTAACAGTGTTATGGGCCTATACTTTTTGCAGTAAACTTAAAAAAACTGTTGTGTTATAGGAATACTCTCCTTTTGCAGTAGTTTTAAAAACCTGTGGTTTACAGACCTACACCTCCTTTGGCAGTATGTCACAGGCCTAGCCCTCTTCTACATGGAATGACTAAATTCTCTAGTACTATGTAATAAATAAATGATGACTATATTCTATTAGATTTTTTGAAAGAGAAGTGAAGCACTAAAGTAACATTCATTAAATGCAAATTGTAGAATTTCTACAAACAATACATTCATAAAACATCAGTAGAATAATGATGCAGAATAAAAATTCAGGCCTTTTCAGCTTTTAAGTTACATTGCTCCTGTAGTTTTGATTTGTTGTGCCTATGAAATAAAGCCAAAGTAGTTTAAAATGTTGGAAAAAAAAACAAACAAGTAAATTATTGATTTTCTTAGTTTATCCATGACTTAATACACTATACATTTAATTAATATAAAATTTTAAGAGGAAGGCAACACACAGCCACAAATGATTAAGTGCAGCAGGTTTTATGAGTCATTCAAGATGTCTAACCTACATACAATGTCACACATGATTCCTTTAGTTTCTGTAGTAGTCATCCCTGACAAAAACTTTGAGATTTTCACATTCTGAAGTTTTCATCCATATACACGTAAGTGAAGCAATTGAGTATTATTAAGTAGTTTCATATAATTGCTTCAGAATTTCTTTTAGTGTTTAAGAGAGTTTAAGAAAGAAACTAAAGAAATTTGGTTCTCTGGGTGTGGTACACACACATGAAGAAATGGCGTAAATAAGGATGCCTGTATTGCAAAATTAGGTCAAGAACTAGATGAAGCATATTCAGCTAGTAGTTAATATTGAGAATCATGAGTTAAAGAGTTATAAAAAATAGAACTAGCACCTTAGTAAAGATGCAGAGAAGAATGCTAGTCACGAATTTGACAGTGATAAGTTACTGACACAGATCTAGTAGTACGGTAACTACTAAAAATTTTGTGATAGCATCTAAAATTGGCACTTTGATGTAGGATTCATTACCAGAGACTGGAGCTGTAGTATAAGTAAAAAGGCAACTGAATCACATACCATCACAGTAACTAATTACTTGAGAGTTTGGGTGCTTGTTTTGGAAATGCTTGACAAGTTGCAGAAATTAACCAATGAAGTATCAGAACTATTTGCAGGTAGTTAGGTATACTAATTGGAAACTCTTAAGGACACAGAGAAAATGTTGTATAAAAACTAGTGTCTGGAGCTGAAAGTCAGTTCTTCAGGACAAATCAAGAGTTCTCTCCAGGACCAATTTAATGTTTGACCTCCACGCTCTACAATGATGAAGTTATCCAACTTACAACAGTACACCTCCTCAACTTTGATGTAAGTAAGATTGCTGTTTCTCTTAATCAATTAATGTAGTTTAGGATAAAATAGTAAAGTGAGTTGTATAAAAGAAGCTAATATTTGTAATATAGTTGAATTTCTTATATGTGAACCGTATTATCAGTAATGATTAACTTAAAAGTTGGATTGTTTTAGAATTAATGGATTATTAATAAAAGAGTTTTTATTACATGGAAGAACTTAAATAAAATTGATGTATTTTGTGAAATCTCAAACTCAAAACTGTTTTCTTTAATCAAACCATAAATTTCCTTGAGTTAGTGACTTGTGAGCTCCACTCACCACTGCATTCCCCGATTAAATAAATTTGGTGTAATTGGCAGTAAAGTCAAAGCTCCAATGACTAGCCTAAAGGGCATTGTCCATTACATAAGTATATGAAATACTTTTTATATCAAAGGCATATACAGCTAATACTGTATGGTGTTTCCATTAAGATGCCAAAACAACTATAATTAACACCATTTGACATTGTCAGAGTTATATCTTTACATCATGCTGGTTGGAGTTTACTAAAAATTCCAAAAGACATTAGTTTTTCACCAGTTACTGTGAAGCTCACACTGGACAAACAAAAAACTCAGTTCTATATCACCAGCCAAGGAAAGTGATGGAAAAAAAACTCACTGAAAGAGATGTCATACATCTGAAAAGCAATTCCATGACAAACTGGAAAAAACTGTGGAAACTTTGCTGATGACATTAATAAGACAGGCATAGATAAAGTGTAAAGAAGTACAGTCTCAAGGATGGTGCAAAAAATATGGCTTTTGGGGAATAGTAGCAACAAAAAAGCCCTTACTGTTGCAAAATGAATAAAGCAAAGAAGCTAGCATTTTCAAAAGAACATGTATCCTGGCCTTTGGAATAGAAGCACAAAATTCTTTGGACAGACGAGTCTACATCTGAACTGTCTGGTTCCAACTGATGTGTATATTTTCAATAAATAATAAATGAGATGTTACAGAAGAAGTACCTTGTGCCAACAGTCAAACATGCAGGTTACTCTGTAATGACTTGAGGCAAAATATCTGCAGAAGATATTGTCCATCTTTAGAAAATGTATGGAATAATGGATCAGCATTAACTCTTTCCATATGGGATCAGTGGATTACACGAACGTTGAAACCCCAAAGTAACCATAAGAATTTATTTTATTTTTATCTTCACAAAATTTGGCAAACTTTCAATAAGCATTAGAAGTCTTTTGTACACAAAAAAATCAGCTTAATTAAATATTTTGATTAAAGATTTGTCCATGAATATATGGAGTCAAAGTGTTGACTGTACCAAATGCAAAGTGATGCTCATGTTAAAATTGAAAATATTTTTTTTCATCTGAAAAATTTCAAATTTCATTTGTAACCTCTAAAAATCTAAATAAATGTCAAATGTTTTCTTCCAATTAAATTCTATATTTTATTCAATACTAGACCTGTTGGGTCAACAACTATTCAGAGGTTATGAAGAATTCAAGCTAATTTCAATATTGCACCGTTGAGATAATTTAATTAAATATTTCAATCCATTTGTGTTATTCATAATTCAAGAAAAGATATTTGATTGTAAAAAGTAAGACCATTTCATTTTTCAAAAAAGTGAAGTAAGAAGTTTCGTAAAGAGCACGAACAGTAGTGTAAATGATTTTTTGACTGAGAAAATAAGCAAACATACAAACAAACAATCTCAGAGTTTTAGTAGTATATAGATAGATAGATTCTTCAAGATCTTGTTTTTGTCATCTTACACCACCTTTTAATGAAGATGGGAACATTGACAGGGAAATAACATAATAGCCAATGCTCAGCAAGAGGTTTCGTTTATAAAATTTAGTTGTTGTTCTCGACTTGATTTTTTATTTTATTACCTCGTCTCCATAGTTACTATTTGCAATAGTCAATAATATTGTAGGTCCATTTATTGTTGTTCTTTCTACACGCTGATGTAATACATTTCTATCTCATCATTTAATTTCTGTTGTCCATATAT